CCACCCTCCCTCATACCCAAACCCTGCCCACCCAAGGTCACAAGGTCCCACCTCCCCCCTGGGTGCAGGCTCCATGCTGCCTCCAACCCCAGCCCCATGGTTCGTGCTTCTGTCCAGCTGTAGCACCCCCTCCCCCCATCCCTGCTACTTCCCTACTTGATGCCCAGAGCGAGCAGGATGCTGGAGAAGCTGAGTGGGTCCCCCAGCAACTGCAGCGGTGGCAGCAGCAACCCTGCCTGGAAGTTGCATGCTGGCTGGGCCAAGCCCTTCTGCACACCAGGGTGGGAGCAAAGCACATGGGCTGGGTGGGGTACAATTAGTTGCTGGGCACCTGTGAGCCAGATGAAAGTGCCTGGCCAGCCATATTTTGCCTGCTCTGGATTAAAGTGATTTTATTTCTCACAACCCTATCTGATTCTGTGGTGCCATTTGGGGTCACGACCCACAGTTTGGGAACCACTGGTTTAGAGGCCACTTTAGAAATTATTCTGTATCATTGTCATTCATTAGAATCAAGCCTTTTCATGAGTTGTGAATCACCAGTAACTAATGGAAGTCCTGCTTTCAAAACACTGATCACTATTCATTAGTAGAGCAGCCCCCACCTATATTATAAGCAGGGGAAACAGCTCAAGTGGTGGAATCTTCCCCTTGCCTGGCAGAGGTTGCAAGTTCAAGAACAGTCCTCATTCTCCATCTGAATGTGCCATAAAGTAGCTACTGTTTTAAATAACTGTAACTGACAGTTGCTCCTAGTTCTCCATACATAGTCACCTGGGACCATTTTTTTCCATTCCACAGGAAGTGCCTTTCATATAGTAAAAGCAGTAATTATGTGTGGAGCTGAGAAAGTAGGTTTACTGGAGGAAAAACAGTGAGCGTGGAATTAACCACATGGTGCTGATTAGGAGTTGTATGACTGACATCTTTTGAACTCCTGTCCTTTTATAGACCTCAGACTTTACCCATCCATCAGTGGGGACTGTATTTAAATTAACCCCCTTTAAATTAAGAAGCTTTCTTTCTGAGCCACTTTCTGTGCTGTAATTTTCTTCAGTCTGCCAATGAGCTGCCTTCACTTTTTATTTCAGTAGCATCCAGTCAATCAACTACCTGACCTAGGAATGTGGCAGTTATGCTGACCAATATATTTGTTCCTTGCAGGAAGCAGAGAACACACTACGCCTGATGCAGAACAGACTGAAGGAGGAGGAAAAACGCTTGCTTAAGCCTGGAAGTAAGTAATATTTCTTAAATGCATGTGCTAGAACAGTGGTTTCCAAACTTTTTTCCCTTCGGGTCTAGTGCTCAGTCCATCCACAGACGGGATCCAGCATGCAGGGTAGTGAGGCAGGTCCCGATCCTGCCATGTGGAGGATCAGGGAGCAGTCCAGCCCCAATTGGCATTATGGGGGGAAAAGTACATGACCCGGCCCCAGTCTGGCCCTGAAGAGCTTGAGAATTTGGCATCTAGGGAGGGGTGACAATATTAATTATCATTGTTTGCCTGTCACCACATTTCCCAACACATGGGGAGCCCTGTGGGCCAGATGCCATGGCTGCGTAGGCCACATTTGGCCTACAGGCTGGAGGTTGAGCACCCCTGTGCTAGAAGAACAAATTACAAAGTGGCAGATGCTTCATGCATAAAACACTCTTTGCAGCCCTGAAGCTGGTAGGAATAGACACTAGGTCCTTTTTGGGTGCACACATTATGCTGGAAAAAAGTGACAACTCTTATTAGCTTAAAAAGACAGTACTGAAACCAGTGCCCTAATTTATATGACTTATTACTTATAAAGCCTACCTACAGTACGGAGGTAAAGAGTAGTCATTAAGCAACAACAGCTTGAGATCTGGGTTTCATTCCCAATTTCAGTTCATTATTATCCAAGCTTCAAGGGAGAGGGCATGCTACAGAGGCACACCCTTTAGCTCTCTGAAGGAAAGTAAATTCAGTGACCTAACAAAAAGGTTTGCATTCCAGTTCAACAGAGAACCTTTATATGTGTAACTTTAAGTATGTGAGTAATCTCACCAATTTTCAGGACTCCTTGATTAAAGTTACATACCTGCTTATGTACCTTGCAGGATTGGAGTATTAGTTCCGATCTCATTAGTTTGCATATCACTGTTGCGTCTACACATGTGCTTTAATGCACATTAGCCTATTTTAATGCACATTAAGCATAACTGAAAAACTGTGCTCTTTAGCTAATGTGCATTAAGACAGGCTAATGCACATTTTCCTAGTACGTCACAGTGGAGGGTGCCTATACATGAGCAGCAAGGCTGCTCTGACACTCTGGAATTCTGGAGTTGGAGAAGACTCAATTAATTGAGTCTGCTGGACCATGGCAATTGCTGTGTCTCGTATATCAGCTTCCTGTGTCTCGTGTATCAGTGTCCCCATGCTTAAAATTGGCAGCAGAGGCACTTGAAGTAAAGCTTATCGAACAACCTTTAGTTCAAGCGACCCCACCACCATTTTTAAGTGCAGGGATGCTGATACATGAGACGGTGCAATGCTTTAATTAGAGTGGTTGTTGGAGCTGCTCTAATTAAAGCATGCCCCCTAGAACATGTGTAAAAGTGCTTAGATTTAATACACATTAACTAAAGCACATCAATGCTCACGTAGACATGCCCACTGTTATGCTGTGCAGTTTGTTTGTGGTGTTGTGCTATATTTAATGGTACTTGCATAAGAAAACAATCTTTCATTTAGTATCTCAGGAATTAAAGTCTTAGTTTGAAAGTTCAGTTTCCCCTTTTTATAAACAATTATTAAACTGTGGAACGCGCTTTGCTTCCACAACATCTTCCTTAATGTTCACATGGCCACAGGGTACAATTGCATTTTCAGTTGGGACCTGTTTGGTTAACTTTTACTTTGCATTAAATAGAGAGCTCAGACTCAGAAGGGAAATGCATCCTCCTGGGATTTTGTCAACACTGCTAACAGATTGGATTTCACTACTTCTCTTGAGACATCAGCCAAACATCCTTGTGTTAATTATCACTGCAAGTTCAATATTGCAATATGTGCATTTTTATATGGCAGGAAAATAGAAATAAGGATTAATCCTCTGGGTCAGATAGACACAAACTTCATGAAAGATGACATTGACAGAGAATGTCACAGTTACATTTGACAGCTTCATTTTGTCTCCAGGTGTTCTACAAGTAGGTAAGAGGGAAAGAGAATCCACCTTGCCCTCCCCATTTCCTACTCCATTTGCCTTGGAGCACCAGATGGAGGATGTGCAGTACATATTAGAATAATTTATTATTTTTCAGAAATTTCCTTTTAACTATATTATATGAGTTTCTGCAAAAAAATGAATTCCAGTCTTCTGTCAGTTCAATTAATACCTTTCAAATTCTTAACTTAATGTGCAAACACAGCTTCTCATGGTATAGTGAAATATTCTTCATTCTCAGTGGGCTTTTTCTTGAAAAACTCTCATAAGTGATTCTTGTATATTTACAATGTTTCCATCTCTGCTTTTAGTAAATTATGTTGTTGGGGCCTTTGGTATTAATAAAGACATACAGTTTTATTGTTATAATGTATCACACTTCAGAAGTTAAAATGTTGCTGTTCTCTAATGGAACTTTTAATAAGTTTGATCTAGTGATGAGAACACAAGTCTGGGAACCAGGAATCTACAAAATAGAAAATAGGGCTAGAAAGCAACTTAAGGAGATAATCTAGTCCAGTCCTTTGAGCAAGTCAGGGTCATCTGCATAGAAACCATCCCAGACAAATAATTGTCTAATACAGTGATTCTCGGGGGTGTTCTTGCAACATTGTCACTGTTAGGTATGGAAAAACCGACACATGAACTCCAAGACTTCAAAGAGGGATCCATAATGTCAAAAACATTCTGACCCGTTGCAAACTTTGAGTTCTTTGCAAGAGAAGAATTGCTATTTTCCATAGGCAAAAAATGTATTAAAGCTAAGAGCTGGCAAGGTTCTTTGGGTAGATGTGATATCTTTTATTAGACCAACTGAGTCCTTGGAAAAAAGTTCTTTGCAAGCTTTCAGGTGCAATTACCCTTCTTCAGACATAAGAAGTCTTTGCTGTTCTGAGACTCCAAGGAATGAAGGTAGCTAAAAGTGTGACAGGATGTCAGCCAGAAGGTAAATAGGTGGAAATTAGGAAAACAAAAGGTAGAGGAGGAAGCAGGGGGAGGAACCAAAGGTGAGTAAAGGAGCCTCAACAGTAGTCTGTCGTAATTCAAGGTAGAAAAGAGGCTGACTGAAAAAGTAGATAGCTTGAAATTAGGAAGACAAAGGGCAGAAAGTGAGGGGAGGGGAGGGGAAGGGAGTGGAGTAAGAAGGTGGGGAATGAAAAGTAAGAGGTCAGGCCTGGCAGGTATCTGGTGAATCAGATTAAAGCTAAGAGCTGGCATTTTCCAAGGGGCAACTTGAGGCTGATGAGATTGAGAACCACAGATCTAATACATCATTGAAAACATTCAGTGATGAACATTGCACTGCCTCTCCGGGTAAGTGCTAGGTGTTCCAGTGCTTAAACCCCCTCACAATTACAAAAATCTTCCTGATGTCCAACATAAATCTCCCCTGCTGCAACATAAATCTCCCCTGCTGCAATTAAAACCCACTGCTTTTCAACCTGTCTGCTGTTAAGACAGAAGAATTGATAATGATTCTCTTTATAGCTACCCTTTTATAGTTGAAGATGAGGGGAAGGGGTGATTGTTTTAAAATATTCTCTTCTGTAGATTACATGATTTCAATTTTTCTAATCTTTCATGGTAAATCATATTTTTTAGACTTCTAATAATTTTTGTTGCTTTTTGCTCTCTTTCTCCAATTTGTCCATGGTTTTTTGGTGGTGGGGGAGTGCAGTCACCACGGTGTCCCAGGTGAGGCCTCATTAGTACTGAATAGAATAGAGGAATTCTTTCCCAGAACTTGCATATGACATGGCTGTTAATACTTTCCAGTATGATTTTAGCCTTTTTTGCGAAAATGGTACATTATTCATTCAAATTCAGTTTGTGCTCCACTATGATCCTTAGGTCCTTTTCTGGTTTACTATAGCCTGGCCAGTTGTTCCCCATTTCATCTGTATTTATGCATTTGATTTTTCCTTCCTATGTGTAGTACTTCACACTTACCCTTACCTGAATTTCATTCAATTTATCAAGGTCATTTTGAATCCTAATCCTGTCCTCTAAAATATATGCTACCCCATCCAGCCTGATGACATCCACAAATTTACCAGGCGTACACTCAAGTCTACCCTCCAAGTCATTAATGAACATATTGACTAGTAGAGAACCCAAGACAGACTCTGGGGAATGCTGCTAAATACTTCCTCCCAGTTTGTCCTTGACCTATTTTTTTAAGCTATGGTCATCTTAAAAAAAAAAGACGAAAGCCTTTGAGTGTGTTAACCATGGGGCTGTATGGAAGGTCTTATCAAAGGCTGGCTACCCAGGGAAATGTATCACCATCCTAAGATGCCTTCATGACTAGATGACTGTGAAGAAATCCCGCTCCTTCTATCCCTGCATTGGGTCATTCCAGCTGCACCCCTCTCTCTTTCACTTGCTTGCTGGTCCTGGCTGGTTAGCCAGATGACTTGGCCAGATAAATTCCTGAGGGGAGGGGGAAGAACTCTTCTCCCGGATTCTTCCTGGATGAATCACTGTAAGTCAGACCTGGAAACTAGCTAGTAGTTCAGAACTAAGTAATGTAGTTGCATGCTAAAAGGGTCACTGAACCCAGTATCTATGAAGGCTCAACTTATTTTGGTTTGCTCAAAGTGTATTTCTGACTCTTTTGTTCTACTCCCCCCCCCATCAATAAAGGTATCATGTTACAGCGTGCCTGGCTGTTTCACTGTGTAAGAGGCTGAGAAGGGGCCTTTTTGATCCCAGCCCAGCCAGCAAAGCTTGGCTGGTTATGTTCCCTCAGTCATACCTGAGGTGACCCTGGAAGACTTCAGGCTGAAAGAGGCACCCAGAAATATTGCCAGTGGCAAAGCACCCCCAAAGCTTTTAGGCTTTATGTACCCCAGGCTGCATGAAGCCCTAACAGAGACCAGTGGTGGCAGCGTTACCCCAGGCTTGCAGGAGTTCTCCAGGAAGGGGGCCAGCCAGCCGTAGGCTCCCTAGGGGAGACTCCCAAAGTGCAGTTTTGAGCCTGGCACAGTGAGGTGGATGGCTCTGCATAGTAGCGCTCCCTACTGTACTGCCA